CCCCAGTCTGCCCCAGTCAATTCGGCTGTACTGTTCTATTTATAGGACGCATGCACTCGCGAACAAGGCCAATTTTGTTGCAGGCATATCTCGCAGCTGCTGGAGGTTAGGGAACGAAAAATGGCAACAACGATGACTGCGGTTATGCTAAAAAATTTATGGTGATTTAATGCGTCTGTCATCTGTAATGATTTGAACAAATGCATTTAATCAGAGATGATGGGGAGTTTTAGGATGAGGAAGAGTTCTGATGAGCCCCCCCCCCCCGCCTCCGGGGTCAGTCGATGGGTGCGAGGATCTAGGCGAGAAGAATCAGGTGGAAGGATGGGAGATGTGGGAAGACACTTACTCCTGGCTGTAGACGAGACCAGGACGCAAAGGCGAGGGGTATAAGCAGCCTAAAAGATATAGCCCTGGAAGTGAGAAAAACTTTACGGTGACGACGGTACAACAGACGCCACACAGGCGAGTTAGAAAAACTTGCCGGAGAAAAGGGGAAGGAAAGAATTTTTAGATGGATAAATTAAATTAAAAGAGCATAGGGGTTGGGTTACTGTAATGAAAAGGAGTAAAAAGAAATACCATAAAACCTATGCAATGCATTTGCTCTCACATACAGTTGAAAAAATGATATTGATTTCGCTTCTTAAATGACTTTATGTATTGGCGAAATGCATGCTTGATTGTTTGAAGAATGATTTGAAAAAATGCACTTCTTTTTTCGTTGTTTCATGGTTTTTTTAACTTTTGTGTTAAATAAAGTGTTCATTAATTGCTGTATTACTATGCAATACACAGGCTGGGGGGAGGGGGATGGGAAGAAAGTGGGGATAAAATTACAGGGAGAAGATACGGATGCAGCTGGGAAGGATGAGAGGCTGCGGCTGAGGCGGGGAGGGAATGGGGGACAGTCGAGAAAAGGGAGGTGGCAGCTAACAGAGCGGACCAGAACTGGTCCCCCGACAGCTGAGAGGCGGAGCGGAAGCGGTACAGCTCGAGAGGGTGGGCGGTCCATACAGATAACGAGCAGCGTCTTATACAGGTAACGGGCAACATCTTATCCAGGTAACTAGCCAATCGGGAATGTGTAAATGCGGCCCGCTACCAAGTACAGGTGAGGGCATGTTACTGTAATCTGATGATTTCGTGGAATTTGAAATCTCTGAATTGCAGTTGGCAAGAAACAACTTTGTGAAGTTTCAGCCTTCTAGTTTGCGCCGTTTTTAAAAACGCTCTACCGCCAAAAAAAACTCTCATACACCCGTACATGAGAACTACGAGTAAAACTACGGTGGACTATGAATACCATCGTGGGAATTACGGTAGACGTGAGCGTCCATTTTGAGTATGGGGCCCGTACTTATGTATGGATTATGCTGTCAAACATTCAGCCTTGCAGCTTTTGTAGATCTCGAGAAATCTCGAGATGAAAACATACTCATACAAAGAAAACCCTTCGATAGTGTGCGTTTTTGCATTTCCTAGATGCAGCCCAGGCTGGAACGCTCTAGGCAAGCCAGTGCGATCATGCGTTTTGCACTATTTCTTGCTGTAGCAAAATTGCAAGGAGTTACAGTAGCTAGAATTTGTGACACACTGGCCCTAGAAGTTCGGGAAGCTAACTATGCGGCTGTGACATGTCAGTTGTAGATGTCGGCTTCAGTGACCTGAGAAGTGGAAGCTTGCTAGTGGGCGAAAAAGACCCCACTACGAGGGTTAAATTTGAAATCTTTAATCACACATAATGAGGAGGGAACATTTTTTTAAAATTCCGGCTTCCAGCTTTTCTCATACCTGAGTTAGCATTTTTTCCGCAAAATTTTTCACGTGCCCGTACGTGAGTCCCGCGTGGTGCTGAGCAGCTGAATTCGAAGTCTTTTAGTTATGCACGGGTAGGGAACAGTGCCATAAAGTTTCAGCTTTCTAGCTCTTCTCATTCCCGAGTTTTTCTGCCAAAACTTTCATGTGCCCGTACGTGAGATGTGGACAGTTGATAACACGTTGCTGGGGTTGCATGACAGCTGATATCACGCTCCTGGGGTTGCACTTGGCTAGAGAACACACAGGTAAAATTTCAGCAGCAAAGCTTGAGAAGTTGGCGAATAGAAATACACACACAATGAGTTGTTACAATATCCGTTTTAGTTACCTGCTGCAGCGCTCTAGCGCTGCATGGCAAAAACGCATAAACCCAGGCTGGAACGCACCAGGTGGGCCGGTGCGATTATGCGTTTTTGCACTTTTCGTGCCGTAGTAAGATCGCAGGGAATCACAGTAGCTAACCCTGTGACATACCGGCCCTCTAAGTTCAGGAAGTTAATTGTGCAGCTCTGTGGTATGTCATTTGTAGATTTCGACTTCAGTGACCCGACAAACGGAAAGTTGCTGGTCCGCAAAAAAAGCCACACTAGAAGAGTTAAATTTTAAATCCTTTAGTCGTACATGAGTAGGGAACATTCCCATAAAATTAAAGTCTTCAGTTTTTCCCGTCCTTGAGTTAGCAGCTTTTTCACCAAAATTTTCACGTGTCCATACGTGAGTACTGGATGGTTTTAAGGAGCTGAATTTAAAATCTCTTGGTCGTACATGAGTAAGGGACATTCCCGCAAAATTTTAGCTTCCTAGCTTTTTTCGTTCCCGGGTTAGTGATTTTCGCGCCAAAATTTTCACCGTACGTGAGCCCCGGGCGGTCCTAAGGAGCTGAGTTTGAAAACTTTTGGTCATGTGTGAATAGGGAACATTCTGCCAAAGTTTCAACTTTCTAGCTTTTCTCATTCTCGATTTATGAATTTTCCCGCCATAATTTTCGCGTGCCCGGACGTAAGCCCCGGGCACTCCTGGGCAGCTGAATTTGGTATCTTTTTGTCACATACGGGTTGGGGACATTACCTCAAGCTTTCAGCTTCCTATCTCTTCTCGTTCCCGAGTTAGCCAATTTCGCGCCAAAACTTTCATGTGCTCGTACGTGGGGACCAGGCTTGTTTGAGAATTGATACTGCGGTCCTGGGGTGACACTTGGCTGGGGAACACACTGGCAAAACTCAAGCTTCAGAGCTTGCGTGACTGGCGAGTTGAAACACCCGGACAGATGAACACACACACACACACACGCACATACACACTGACAGGATCGTTGCAATATGCGTTTTTGCTGCCTGTTGCAGCGCTCTAGCGCTCTAGCACTGCACGGCAAAAACGCATAAAAAGTAAAACGAAAACGCGACATCAGTAGAAGGGTCCAACACGCTGAGCTTAGGGTATTTATGCTCTAGATACGGCATTCTTTCGTAAACTTCTTACAAAGCATATTTTTTTTTCAGTTTTAATGGAGGCCAAAAAATATTCTGATCAATTTTTTTACTCTGTCGGTTTTTATTTCTTTATTTTTTTTTTGTGCGTCTCTGCTTATATGTAAACGCAAAAACGCATATTGTGACGACCCGGGTGTGTGTGTGTGTCTGTCTGTCTGTCTGTCTGTCTGTCCCGGTATTTCAACTTGGCGCTTAAGCATGCTCCAGCGCCAAGGTTTTGCCGGTTGGTTCCCCGGCCAAGTGCTACCCACGACCGTGGCACCAACCCTCACGCAAGTCTGAGCCCGCGTACGAGAGGGTGAAATTTTTGGCGGGAAAATCGCTAATCCGGGAACCAGAAAAGCTAGAAAGCTGAAATCTCGAGGTTATGTCCCCCATCTCTATACGACTCAAAGATTTCAAATTTAGCCCCCAGGCATGCGTGGCTCCCGCGTATGGCCCTATGAGGAACTCGAGAACCAGCAAAGCCCGAACGCTGAAGTTTTCAGGAGTGTTCCCAGCTCATGTACGGCTTAAATTTATCAAACTCAGCTTTCCCTTCCTCGCCCCCTCTTCTCCCCCCTCAGGAGCATAAATGGTTGTCACGTACGGCCTCGTGAATGTTTTTGGCAGAAAAATTGTGATAATTGAAGAAGAAAATTTGGAAAGTCGAAATTTCAATGAAATATCCCCTGTCTAAATATTGCATAGACAATTAACTTCCCAGACTTCGAGGAACAGTATATCACACATTTCTAGCTACTGGGTTTCCGAGTGATCTCATTACGGCACGAAATATTGCAAAAACGCATGATCGCACCGGGCCCGCCCAGTGCGCATCGCCAGATTTCTAAATTAGTATCTCTTACGCTTCGTGAATGCGACTCGGGATTGAAAGGCCTGGCACACAAACAATCTGTGTGTGGGGAATCTCAGTAGCATCATTAGCAATGGCATACGTATATTCAGTATCCATGGTATTCTTGGTCAGTTAATGGATAAACACCCAGGCTGGAACGCACCAGGCGGGCCGGTGCGATTATGCGTTTTTTGCAGCAATGCAATGCGAAAAACGCATACTGACGAGAGGTTGTCTGTGTGTCCG